ATGTGTACCTCTTGCCACTATTGGATATAGGGGAAATATGCCTGCAAATGTTTGCATGAATGAGCTCCAATGGCTGAATTGCTATCCATGTACTTCTTTTTGGTATGTCATCTGGGTGCTGTTTGCCATTAATGCAATTTGTGCATGTTGTGTTTGAAGCTTGAAATTAGGGAAGTCCATGAACCATCGCAAGGTTCTCAAACCTTTGTAACTCAAGCGGCCATATCGTCGATGCCAAATGGAAGAGAGATCTTGAGGGCTTGTATGAAGACATCTTTCTGGCTGAGCATTTGTAGGGACTGGAGTTTGAGCTAGCAATATAAACATTTTGTTTACACTCATCACAGTCTGAATAATCAAGTTCTTCGTCGGATGATAGATTTTACAGGCTCCCCCTTTAATCAATATCATCAAGCCTCTTTCTTGAAGTTGTCCTATGCTCAAGAGATTATTTTTTAGCTTTGGAACATAGTACACTTCATGTACAACATGGTTAACTCCATTCAATAGCAACTTCACATTTCCCTTTCCAACCACATTCATCCTACTATTGTTTCCCACTTTAACTGAATGTAGAAAGCTCTCATCTAGATAAACATACCTCGATTTCCAACATATGATTGGAATGCCCCGAGTCAAGGAACAATGCACCATTCCATTTGGAAATCATCTTCTTCTATATAATAGCCAAAGGTTGCACAAAATTTCCTTCAGAGGTCAATTTCCTCTCTCTCTCTCTCTCTCTCTCTCTCTCTCTCTCTCTATGTTTGGAAATCACTCAAAAGCTGTGGATTCTTTTTCTTAGGCCCAGTGGGGGCTCTGATGAATTTTTTATTGAACATCAACCTTTGGCTATTATATAGCCTTACATGAACTAACAAACAACTTAAATTCAGCCCACAATTCACACTAACAGAAAGTGGTAACATGCATAAGGAAATAGTCAAAAACAGTAAAACAAGTTTCCCTAAATAGTAGGGACTTATTTGAAATAGAAAACAAACCTATCCTATGGTACTAAGGAATCCCAAAACCGTTAATGGGTTGGTCTTGGGAAGGGGTCAGTGGTGGTTGGGTAATAGGGAGAGGAAGAGAGTGAGGTCTGCGAGTAGGGGTGGGTTGAAGAGGGAAGTGAGCTTATGGGAAAAAATCCAATTGTGAGAGAAGTGGGGTTGCGAGAAGGAGTGTGGTGGCTGGGCTGAACCGAGTGCTTTAGGGATAGAGGTGACCAGAAAGGAAGAAAGAGAAGAAGGAGGTGAGGGCTGGTGAGCTAACAGGGAGCGAGGAAGAAAGGGGTTTCTTAACCCTAAAAAAAATAAAAAATATTTAAAATTTATTTTTGATTTTTTAATTTGGATTTCAAAGTTTTTTAATAACTAATATTATGAAAATGCCAATGCCACATCAGCACACTTAATAGTTTTGTAGATGGAAATGGACGAAAGTGGTAAAAATTTCATCAATTTTTAGAGATTCTATGGGTTAAGTGAGAAAATTTCAATTTCAAAGGGTAAAGTGAGACGAAGAGTCCGTTCCAGGGGTAAAATAGTAATTAAGCCCTTAATAATTGGTTCTTAGTGTTACCATTTGTTCATTTGAAAGTACAACATGGAGTTTTTCTAAAATATTAAAATGGGCATGCTTGTGAAAATCTCAGGATTAATAAAGAACTTAAAGCACCTCTATTACCAAGTGCATTATTGACCATTGGATTGGATGGGTTATCTCAAGGCTATAAAGGTGCATAAAAATTTGTGGTTTGATGTGTCTCCCATGATCCTTACTATACAAAAATTCATTCTACCATGTACTGTATGATATATTTACTAAAACACGTCACTCCAATCGAATAACATGTTAGTTTGAACAGAGCTTTAATTGTAAATCTAGTAGCTATATTAACGTTAAGGGAAGACCAAAAAATTGATGCTATCGCTACAACTGTTTTTAATTCATTCTATCAGGAAAAGTTGGTTGGAAAACTATCGGTCGCTTTATATAGCGACAAAATTATGAAACTTCTGACCAAAATGACCAGTTGTTTTTCCCAAAGCAACCGGTCGCTTTTCATAGACTCTAATATTTTTGAAAATCTCCAACATTAGCGCTACAAGCTAGTATTGAGATTGGTAAATGATGATGGGTGGGATAGTGCATGAAGCTAATTCCTAATCCGACCCCTCTATGTCTGATTCCAAAATATGGTTTCCTCCAACATCTCATTTAGTCACATGTAAAATGGGCAAGAACAGACTTCCAAAGAAAATAGTCTTTCTGACCTAGACTAGAATACGAAGGGTAAGATAGATTATTAGCCCAATGAATTATCGAGTGGTTAGAACAAAATTGGAAACTTCGAACTTAAAATTTGATCTCATAACAAAGGAAGGGAAATGAGGAAATTTCTCGGAAAACAAACAAGAATGAATGAAGGAGTAGTAAAATTATACTGATCTAAGACCATCTCCAACCCAATGGGTGAAAACTCAAATTTTGAGTTTTGAGTCCAAAATTCATCTCCAACCCATGTATTTTCAGGGGTGGAAATTTGAGATGGGTGGAATTTTGGGTGGAATTCCAGTCTGGGTTTTGCCTGGACTGGAAATTTTTTGTGGACCCCAACTCATGCTGCACAGCCCATATGAAGAGGAAAAATGGAGTGGGCCCTACGCGGAAGAAAGTTGCAGCTCTCCCTTTGCTTTTGCATGACAAGTGGCAGCTCACCATTTGTAGTTATTGTTTCTTTCATTTTTTTTATTTATTAAACTTGCAACTTAAAGTTGCTCTGTTTGGAGTAAAAAAAAAATTTATGTTTTGAATTTTGGATTTTTTTAGGTTAAAATGTTTAGAAAATTAAATCACGAATGTTGAAATAAAAATAATATCAAGAAAAATTAATGGCAAAAAAAAATTGAAGGCTAACTATTTTTAAACAATTTAGATAAAGTAGTAGACTCAAATTATGAGTCTACAAGGTTGGAGGAAAAAACAATTTGAGTCCTAAAAATACATGAATAGTTATATTTTAAAGGGTGAAAATTTGAGTTTAGCCTCAACATGGTTGGAGATGGTCTAATGAGTGAAATGTACAGCTGCTCTTTAATATAGACACGCAAGGCAACAATAGCCAGGTCAGCTTCTTACTGTGCAACAACCAGTAAGGAAAGAAGAAAAACCATGACCAAGATAATGTAGAGGTTATTGGTTATGGATCCTATTGGTTATATACGCACAAAAAGTGAAGTGAAGTCATGAATATTATATGTTTTTGTTGCTCATAAATATTTTATGCTTTATTCTTAATATATATATATATATATATATATATTGTTTGTTTAGGCATTTTAAAGGCATGATGATTCACGGGAGAGGACCAACCAAATTTGAAATATCTTTTAATATTTAAAAAGATATATAGATTAAGAGTTTGTTGATATCGAAAACCTTACACTAAATTATGCACGAAACACGCATACTTTCACTCCCAACAAGTCTCATTATGATCACTCTTCCTATATTTAATTAGGGCTCGACCCAAGAAGTTCATCTTACTTCTTTTCATGTTACTTTGAATATTGATCAAGATAGTATACTTGACATAATACTTAATTACCTGAAAAGATATCTTGAAGATAAAATTTCAAATTGTGACCTTACTTTCCGAGGCCCTTGAATGAACTCCCCATGATTATTAATTTTTTAATATAGGCCATAGTCTAAATTATAAGAGAGAGGGAGTTTCACACATACACACACTTAGGGGTAGATACGATTCGGTATGATCCGGTCTAGTTCGGTCCCATTTTCACCTCACAACAGAATCGGAACTTGTACTATTCAACCGCTATGATTTGGTTTGGTTTTGATGAAAAAAAATTTACAAAATCAATCGGTGTGGTTTAAACCGATTCTGGTATGATTTCTATTTTTTTCAGTTTCAAACCGGATATTTATTTATATATTTTTCAAATTATTTAAATATAAAAAAAAACTAAAATTTTATTTTTTGGGCTTAAAATTTACAAATTATCAAATTTTATGCAAAGAGAGATGATTGGGCCCATAAAAGAAATGTGATTTGAAGTTGGGTTTGGGGAAACATTAGTTATGAGATTAGAAATTTAGCACTGGACTTAAATAATTTTTTATAAAATTAAAAAAAAAACGTAGTCGGTTTGGTCCAATTTTGTAAGGTGTGAAATCGACACCAGAATCGGTTTGAACCAATTCAATCCGGTTTGATGTCGGTTTGTTGGCTATTTAGTCAACATGGTTTTTTTTTCCACTTTTTTTCCATCCTGTGTAGCTCGGTGATTTAATTTTTTAGTCTCGATGCCCATCCCTACTCACATTATTAAGTTGTCATAAGAGTTCGAACCTAAGAGTACTGGTTTGCAAGTCAAAGCTTTTTTCCACTGGTTAGACCTGTTAGCGAACTCCCTATAATTTCCAAACCTAAAATTAATAAATTAATGTTACAAGACACAAATAGAATTGGAAGTTGACATTGCCACATAGCTAGCAGGACTTTTCACATGTAATAATTATGACACTCATAAATCATATTTTTTAAAATGTTCATTTTAGTTAGAGAAATAAAGTTAGAGCCAGAGATGATTTCCTAATGAAATTTACAACATTTTCATTTACTATTCATTTTTAACACAAATGTTATGTTGTAATAGTTCTTTAAAAGGTGATAATCTTTTTTTTAACTAACCCTGTATTACAAATTCAATGGTTATTTTGTTTTTTTATATTCACTTTCAATTAATCTTAGATAACTTCAACTATATTTCACCTTTGTTTGTTAAGTTTTTTTTTAAAAATAGTTGCACCAAAAAAAAAAAACTGAAATTCGAATGGTTTCTTTTGACTCCAAAGTGGCACGTCGGTTTTTTGACCGCGAAGGCTTACCAGAAACGTCGTCGTCCCGTCCAGTTAGGACATCTTCGTCAAAGTGGCTTCTGGTCGAGCTTCTAATTAAAGCAACAGCAGAGACTTACAAACTAAAACTTCTCCTCACCTCACCAGAAATTATTCACCAGCTAAACCCATTCTGCTGCTTCACCGACAATGGCGTCTCTGCTGCGTCTTCTTCTCCCGCTGTTCCTTTCCTGCGTTGTTTTGTTCAGCCACCAAGTCAAGTGCGATGGAGGTAAAGTTTTCTTTTATAAGCATCCATCCATTTGCAATTGATCTAAAACAGCCTAAATCTTGAGACTTTATAACAATGGAGTATTTATATGCTACTGAGTGTTATGCATTCTCTTTCTATGCTTTTACATTTATGAATTCTATTTCTATTTTGGGTTTGTTGCTAATTTATCAAAATGTCTTAAAAATAGAAACCCATCTCAGATGAGATCTGATTTAGATAAAGTATGCCTCTTAGTTAACTGGATCTTGTGGATTTAGTGTTTGGAAAATGGGTAGATTGTAATCTGTCCACTTTTGCTTGAAATCTTCTTCGAGCTATAATCAACACTCTGCATCTCCCAGAATAAGTCTGTGATCTGTATATGATTTTTTCTTTTTAGGAAGACTCTGCAAAAATTATTATTTTGCTATGTTGTTTCTAGTTTTTAAGAAGTTCCATGAACTCAGGGAACACATTCTTTGGGCAAATTTTATACAAGACTGCTTGTTGAAAAGACAGAGTGGAATTAGACCAACAACAGAACCAATGCATTGCTAGTTAACTCTCAAATCTAAGTTGATATGTTGCCGCATGATTGTCTAGTCTAGTGGAAGTGTTGATATTTGGAAGTACTTATCTCTCTTTTGACGTTTACATCCTGACAATGAGTTATTCCGTCTCTCTCCTTTTTCCAGTAGATGAGGAAGATACTCTTCTTCGAGGCATCAACGGCTATCGGGCTTCCACCTTGAACTTGGCAACCCTTACAAAGAACGCCAATGCAGAGTGCCTTGCCGATGAGATAGCTGACCAATTAAAAAATAAACCCTGCACAAACACCACAGGCGCCAACACGGTACCGGGCACTGAACCTCAGTTTTCCGGCTATCCGAAACTTTTAGCCAAATGCCATTTGAATGTCTCTAACACAAGAGATGGGGTCATAATGCCTGCTTGCGTTCCCAGCCTGGTTCCTAGTCTGGTCCTTACCAACTTCACTAAGTCTCAGTACTCTGAGAGTCTTAATGACACCAAGTATACAGGAATTGGAATTGGCTCTGAAGATAATTGGATTGTTGTTGTTTTGACCACCAACACACCATATGGAAGCTTTTCGAATGCACAAGGGTCACAAGATGAAGAAGAATCTGCGAGTTCAGTTCCGAAGATTAGTTTGGTTCCCTACTTGCTATGTTTGCTGATGGGTTTTATCTTCCATTTGTAAACAAAGAGGATCACCATACACTTTATTTGCTCAGACTATTTCTGTCTTTGTTGAGAGACATCAGTCGAAGGATGCCATAAAACAAGTTCTGTGTTTTTCCCACATAGGAGAGACATGAATATCCAATCAGAGCTGCTTTTTTTTTTTTTTTTTTCGGTGGAAATAATGTCATTCTTGCATAACTTGATGTGTCTTGTTGTAACTGATAGTAGATTGTTGAACAGATTTATCACCATTGTTTTTGAGCTTTCAACTTCAGAAGTTTTGTGATATAAGTGAGAAAAGAACACGTCAAATGTTTCGTTCTCCGTACTGTACTGATCAGTAATTTAATAAAGATTTGCATTACGTTATTTTATATATCAAGTCTCAACCTTATGGGTAAGGATGAGAATTTTCAAAACATGACATGGTTCTACGATTCCACCAGCATGAAGTTACTTATAAATCCAAAGAAACTTATTTCCAAGAATGAAATCACAAACTTAATAAAATATTAATTTTACCCAACTTAATGATTAGAAGGAACACATGCAAGGTGCTTCCTTCATATATGATATATCTCTTCCTCAATAGAGCATCCCCTCGTTTTTCCTGGAACCTGTAGTGCATTTGAAAATACCCCCATTGACTAATTGCCAAGAACGAAAAAACCGTTATGTTGATCGATTTCAGGACTGGCCCCGACCGAGACACCGGAGTTTTATGAAGTTTTACTCATAGAATTTCGTAGAATCATAAAGAGTCTCATAGAGTTTGATAGATTTTATTTATTAAGGAACTATTATTGGTACTCCAAAAACAAAGGTCACTATGCACTCAAAATTCATATGTTATTTAGCCAAATGACATTTGGTAAATATAATTTTAAAACCAGAAGAGGGCAAAGCCCAAACAAATACACAAACAAGCCGAAAGGCGAGAACAAAGAGCAAAGAACAAAACCACAGGCCTAAAAGAAGCATTTGATATCAATCTGAATGTCCTTAGGTCTATATGTCCTACAGCTCATGTTTTGGCATGTTCAAAGATTCATAAATGGGAATCACAATCCCTATAATTTATTGACTGAAAGTCATAATTCCAATTAAAGGTTCATTACACGCTGCTAGTCGAAGATACACAAAATTCTGCTTCAAGATTTAAAAAGGAACAATGTCAATCTTACCATTTTTCTGACAACCGAAGTGAACAGGATGATGAACAAAAACAATATATACATAAAAGAAAAAAAAAACTTCGTCTCTAATCCATATGTTCCTTGTTGATTTGAAACTGAACTTTTCCAGCATCCACCGGCATTATAGCATCTGATATGTAAAATTCCAATTCTCACTGTCATCACTAATTCAAGCGCTCTTTAATTTGCTCTTGTTGAGAAAAAAAAACCTCCTCAGAGCAAGCAATAGGACCCAGGTTGTCTTTGTGATCTTTTCCTTTATCATCAAAAGCAATGCCGAGCTTAGCACAGTTTTTAGTATCTGGGCCTGTAATCCCTTGAAGAAACCCAAAAGGCCCTCTCTTTTCCAGATGGCAAAAAATGCACCTGAAATTGTCTTTTTGGATTTTTTAGATCCGTTTTGAGCTTCCTTGTTACCTTCTTCATCTTCTTCTGCTGCTTGAATCATGACCTTGCACCTGTAGCAGTTCATAACCCAATTTTACCATTATAGTCGATAGGACGGGAGGTACATGTACTAAATTTAAAAACATGTTTTTGCTATTTTTTCGTGAAAGAATAATAATAAATTATGTGTGCTGAACAGAGAAGATTGATAGAATTGACTTCCACCTGATGGCTGGGTAAGTCAAGCAGGATGCAATACACTTTGAGACAGCACCCAATACAAAAGCAGAGAAGGCAGAAAGAGCTTCTGGAGATGACTCTGCACCTGTTCTTTTGCTCAGCTGCCCCCTCAACAGTCTTTGTTTCAGCTGATCAAATACAGTGTACTGTACAATAGAGCAGCTCAAGATTCAACTTAAGTTGTCTTTTCCTTGCAAGCTAAATATTTGAACTTTTCAGGTGCAACATGTGCATAGAGAGAAAATCGGGCTGCTAATCATCTTGCTAATGTGGGCCATGATTTGGCTTTAGGTTTGCATGTTTTTTATATCTATTCCTGCCTCTCTTTTTAAGGTTTTGGCAGATGATAGATTAGGCTTAGCCCAAGTCAGGGATGTTCCTTGTTATTTTCTTTTTGTTTGTTTGGGCTTCAGCTTACCACTTCACCAAATAAAATAAAATATTTTGCATACATTTGAAAAATTAATATAGGAAATCTCAGTAAAGAGCCATGCGTAGCATTTTTACCATCTACAGTTATATTGTTGATAATGCAACCCAAAGTCTACTTAAAAAAACTATATAAAAAAAAAAAAAAAAAAGATCATCCTAAAATAACCTCACCAATTTTAAATCCAAACAAAACCAAGTAGATGATACATGTGAGCCATAAACATAGTAGCCTGTATACGGTATATGGTACAATAGAGTGCACACTCAAGTACCTGGATAGATGGGTTAGATGTCAAAAGAAGAGATATGCCAAGACCATCAAATGCCTCAATCCAAGTTCCCTCTGAAAGAGTCTTCCAGAGTCCTTTGGATTTCCCAAACTCACTTGTCTGCATCTTTGAGGATGCTGTATCCAAGGGCTGCAAGTAAAATTCAGAAACTTGAATATCTTATAGTAAGGACTAAAATTAGTAACTGAAAACCATAAGAGATAATGAAAAAGATATAGATGGGATATGAGGGCTTGAGTAGAAATTTATTTTGGATAGCATACGGTTTGGAAAAGGTATATTGATTCTACATGGCTCATGACTAACAAGCATTCCTTTACTAAGGGAAAACATTGTTTTTGTATCACTTACCTGTGTCACTATCACTGTGCAAGCCCCGGCAGCAGATGCAATTATCAAGTTTGCTTTAGTTCCCATGGTTTTATTTCCACTTTTCTCCAAGTATAACCTCTTAAAAAAACTGTATCCATAGAAGTAGATGAACTGTGAAATAAAGGACTGGAAGTTCTTTGTCCCAAGGCCCTGGTATAAAGAAAGCACCTGACGGGTAGAAATTGCTTCCCATAAAACATCAGAAATGTTCCTGCAAATGCCAGAGAAATTCACATTTTTAAAAAGTAATTTCTCAGGTGAATGTTGCCTTATGAATCATTGGAAATAGCAGTTGTCACAATTTCTTTTGACATATTTTGTTGCTGTAAAACTAGAGCTGACTTTCAACAAAGAATATTCTGAAGCATTGGAAAAACTACCAATGGTGAATCAAGTTTCCTTCTATACTAAGAGATATACAAGAATACTGTCAGGAACACTGTGCTAAATAACAGAAGAAAAGAGAAAGAACTTCTTCGGTGATGAGCTGGATCAAACAAGTTTAATCACAACTAGCTAGCTTTAGTTCATGGAATTTTATCTCATTGATCTTATTGAGCGCTTACCTGGATCATAATGAAGGAGACTAAAAGATAACATTTTGGAGGAAGAGTCATATAGAAGAACACAGTTTAAGCATAATAAATAAGCAATTGTATAGGCTCATAGGAGATCTTATGTGAATAATCTTTTGGGGCATTGGACATACGGAGAGCAATAAATGAAAATTCGAGTTTGGTTTTCATCTTAATTTAGCATTATATAACACTTTATTTGACTTAATTTGTAGATGCTTAGGGGTTGCTGACAACACTACAAAACACCTACATCTATGCTCAAGAGTCTAATTATAGTAAATAACTAAGCGAAAAGCTTAGAACTTTGAACATGCCGGCCAACAAGGTAAATTGCAATTACATTCCCATTAGAATTTGCAATATGGGCAACACTAAGCTCAAGTCATAGAAACAATTATACCCAAATTACCATAAATGAAAACCCAGAAAAGAACTAGAGTGAAAAAAAACAAAACAATAACAAAATGGGAAGAAAAAGAAGATTATTTATCAAACACAATTATGTGGAATGCAGAGGCTGAAAAATCAACCTGTACTTCTGCTGATGGTGAGCTCGGACTTCAGCTTGATACTTGGTCTTGCAGGTATCAAGTGGGTACAAGATGGTGGTGCTAACCAAAGCTCCAATGGCCCCTGATGTTGCCTCTGCTACAGATTCAAGATCAAAGCCCATCTTCTCCCTCTCTTAAGTTGGTCTTATAAAAAAATAGAGAGAATTGGGTTTTGAGGGAATGAAGAAGAGAAGAAGGCTATGATTTGTGAGTGAAAAAGGCTGAGGTAATGCAATTCATGAGGAGCTAGGTAGGTCCATAATATGGGATGGTGTGCTTTCAGTTAGTAAGCGAATGTAAGTGACGCAGAGAGAGAGAGAGAGAGAGAGAGAGCAATTGGAACGGGTTGCTCATAGTTTGTGTATCTTCTTGGGAATCGGAAACGTGAACATTCTTCTTTCTCATCGTCTCTTCGCTTTTAGGACCCGTTTTACAAACGGGTGGATGGATGCCCGAAAAGCCTATTTGGGTTACAAAATGTTCATAAACTTCCCTTATTTACCTTTGGAAGATGTTAATTCTTTTTCCTTCTCTTTTGTCGGATTGGAAGATGTTATTCGCAGTTCCAAAATGTCATATAAACTGTCAAAACAATTCTCTTTAAAAACTACTTGTTATAGGTGGCTCTCATAATGCACATTACTTTTGGTTTAATGATATTTTTTATATTTTGTTAAAAGATGTTCTAAATTCAAATTTCATAAGCGAGATAAAGAAACGAAATATACGACAAAGGAGTACATAATAACATTTCAAAAGCGCTAGTAACGTCTTAATACCTTTTATCTGATTATAACTTTATTTGAACAACACATTGATTTTGGTAAGCGAAAGGTATTACTCAAAACACAAAGCTATAAAGTTTCTTCTTTTTTTTGGTCAAGAAGCTATAAAGTTTCATGCTCGTTCTTCTATCACAAGGCTATCTGTGCTGGTTTTTAGTTGGATATGTCAGCTTTCAAAAATTAGGGCCGCCCAAAAATAAAATAGGACAAGAGGGCCCAATATGTTAACAATCCCTTTTTGTTGGGTGAAAATGAAATAGTCTTCTTTAAAGTTAGGGCAAGTTATAGATCCCAAAACAAACACTCACAACGTCATCGTTTGGTTTTATCTATTTTTATAATTTTTTGAATTACAGATCAACCTAGCCTTTTCCCTCCATTCAAATTTTTCACTCTCCTGCTTCCCAACACAGAGTGACAGGCGACCCTCAACGGCCCTAAATCAATAGTAGAAGAATCGAATGAACCTCAAGAAACCCTAACATTTCTGGCCGTACAGCTCCACTACCGAGCCACAAAGATGCAAGACCTCGTCGACTTGTTACGCGAGTCCCTGGTGCTTCGGACTCAGCGCCGGGACGACGGAGGAGGCGGAGGAGGGTTCGGTGACCTGGTCGGGAAGATCGGCTCCAGCATCCGAAAATCGCGAATCGGGTTGTTCTCCAAGTCTCCGGTTCGTGCTCTTCCTCCGGCCGCTTCGAAAGATGACGCGCAGCCGATTCGGTGGCGCAAGGGCGAGTTGATTGGGTCCGGTGCGTTCGGTCGGGTCTATATGGGGATGAATCTTGACTCCGGAGAGCTAATAGCCGTGAAACAGGTCTGCCTATTACTTAGTTTCGAGATTGGATTTGGTGTTTTGATGTTTTGGTACTGATTTTGTGCTTGTTACAGGTGTTGATTGCGGCAAATAGTGCTTCAAGGGAGAAGACACAGGCATGATTCTGATTTTGCAAAAATTTCATTTCATTTTGTAGAAGTTTTAATTTTGGATTATATTATTTGTTATTCTTGTTGGATATTGCATAGTTTGCATTTGGAAGCACAAAAATTTGATAATTCATTGAATGAAATAGGCATTTTGATGATAGAGCTTGTATTATTCTTGGTGTACCGGCAATTAATATATGCACTCATTTGTGGATACTATGAAAATGTTAGTAAAATGAAGGATGTAAGTTTAGTTGTTAAATAATGTTACAAATTTTCAGTTTGAAACTAAGTGATTGCAGTTTTGTTTTTCTAATGTGATGAAATCAGGCTCATATTCGAGAGTTGGAGGAGGAAGTGAAGCTTCTTAAGAATCTTTCACATCCAAACATTGTTGTGAGTATGATTTTCTGCTTTCTTTTATGGAAGTGATGGTGATTATTTACTGTCTTACTGTTCCGATGTTGTTGTTCTCTTAGAGATATTTGGGGACTGCTAGAGAGGATGATTCATTGAATATTCTGTTGGAATTCGTGCCTGGTGGATCCATATCGTCTCTCTTGGGGAAATTTGGTTCCTTTCCCGAGTCTGTAAGTAATTGTTACTTCTAAACAATTGACCTCCGGCTTTTGGGATGTCGATTTTACATCTAGAAAATGTTTCCTGTATAGGTTATCAGAATGTACACAAAGCAGCTGTTATTGGGTCTTGAATATCTTCACAAGAATGGAATTATGCATAGGGACATCAAGGTACCTCTCCATGCCCACTATTTAATGTTAATTTAGAGTATAAACTGACCTCTCTCTCTCTCTCTCTCTCTCTCTCTCTCTCACTTATTAATGGGCGTGCTTCATATAGGGTGCAAACATCCTTGTTGATAATAAGGGGTGCATTAAACTTGCAGACTTTGGTGCATCGAAGAAAGTTGTTGAACTGGTAATGACATTTCTATTATGTGCTAATGATAATTGACTTGATTATTTTTTTCATATACATCACTAGTTCTTTTAATTGTTAATACAGGCTACCATAAATGGTGCGAAGTCAATGAAGGGTACGCCATACTGGATGGCTCCTGAAGTTATTCTCCAGACTGGCCATAGCTTGTAAGGACGATTACTCACTCTTATGCTGAGGATGTTCACATTATTCCCAGTTCCCAGTTATACCCTGATACATGTTAATCAGAAGTTTTTTTTAAATCTATTTATTAATTTATTAATAATTTAGATTTGAAGTAGCTCTATTAAATTTAAGAGAGTTGACTATTTTTTATAGTTTGATTGGTATTAGATGTATATATTGACCAGATAATTTATACTGGTGCTAATTTTTTGTATTAAGTCCATTTACACGAGAAGACTACAATCTTTAGCACATTTCTCATCCTAATCTCTTATTAGAAGCATGTATCAGATGTTCTTCTGCATTGAATGATGTGATTCCTCTAGTTTAGTGAAGGGAAACTGTTTAAACCTATCTACTCTTTATTTCTGATGCTTGGACCTTATTAGTTTTGAATATGGTTTTTAGCTCTGCTGACATATGGAGTGTTGGATGTACTGTGATTGAGATGGCTACAGGAAAGCCCCCATGGAGCCAACAGTATCAGGAGGTAGCACTTCAGGCTGCTTTTCCCAACTACTAGTTTGATTATTCTGTTTAACATGACTAGTATTTTTAATTTAATGTTGTTTCCCCCAAGAGGTTGCTGACTAAGATAAGGGTTTTCCTTTTCAGGTCGCTGCTCTCTTCCATATTGGAACAACAAAATCTCATCCACCCATCCCCGAGCATCTCTCCGCTGAGGCAAAGGATTTTCTGTTAAAATGTCTAGAGAAGTAAAACTATGATTTCTACTTTTCCCTACTTTCTTAACAAATGTCAGTAAGTTATACTTTTTTCCTCAAATCTTACCCCCGATAATGTGGTGGCAGGGAACCTAATTTAAGGTGTGCTGCGTCAGAGTTAGTACAGGTAATTTTGAATGGCAGATTATGTTTCTTGCATATTGTTCATAGTGTAACCAGGAATGAATGGTACATGCATGCGATTGCAGGTTTTATCTAGATATTTGACTTGGTAGTTCATTTTCTAAGGACAGAAAGAGGGACAGAAAGAAAAACAATAAAATCGTGTTTGTCAAAAAGCACGCACATCTGTGAAGGTCTATTTTCTTTTATTTATTTATTCACTGGACAATTTCTGTTGGTCATGTGCAGCATCCATTTGTCACTGGGGATTATCAGGAACCTCGTCCAGTAATTCGCACTTCATTTATGGTCAGTATAATTGATTTTAATTTTATTGTCTCAACTGTTCTATCTGTTTGATAATTATCATTTTCAATAGTCAGTAACGACCAAACCGAAAAATAGTTAATGGATGAGTTTTATCAGGAAGCTGGAAACGAGACGACAACACCTGGGACAGATCTTAAGAACTTGTAAGTGTTATCAATTTAATCTTTTGGAATTATTACTGGTTGACACTCTTGCCTCTTCAAACTATATCAACACTTCAGCATGAACCCTTCGATCAGAAGGTCTACCTGTGCAGGCTTGAAGGATATTTGTGATATGGGTACTGTAAGGTGCTCAACTGTATATCCAGGGAGTTTTTCAGGGGGGCGCTCCCGTTGGGGAGCAACCAATAATGATGATGACGACATGTGTCAGATTGATGATAAGGATGACATTATGCTTGGTTCATTTGCAAAATTCAAATCTGTGGTTGGACCTGACGATTTAAACAAGGTATTGAACTTTTTTTCTTTTCCTTCTAGATCATTCAGAATGTAATTAGCTTGAATTGTGATGAATGTTTTGCTTATTTGAAATAGAGTTTCAATCCCATGTGTGAACCAACTGACGACTGGCCACGCAAGTTTGATGAAAGTATGGAATTGGAGAGAAGTGGAATTAACTTCTCCCCTTGTCAAACAATACACGAGGCTTATGGAACCACTGGAGCATCTGATAAGGTGGAGAGTGAATTCACATTTCCTTGTGGGCCATCCGCTGAGGATGATGAGGAAGTTACAGAGTCAAAAATAAGAGCCTTCCTGGATGAAAAGGTGCTTTTTTGTGCACGCCAAAATTTTTGCCGTATAAATTAATGGTGAAATGCTTTAGAAATGCCATGTTTTCTCCGAGTTTGTCTAATAAAGTTTAACGCTTTAAACTTGCTCCATGAAACTACATCAGGCATTAGATCTGAAGAAGCTACAAACACCTCTATATGAAGAGTTCTTTAGCTCAATGAATGGAGTTGGTCCTCCAGGTGTAATTGGAAATGCAGATTGTGTTCGTGTTTCAAATAATCTGAATTTACCTCCTAAAAGTAAGTCACCCAGTCGCGCACCTAGTAGAAGATTCTCTACAGCAGTTGATGCTGCAGGCCCTGGGAAACATATAAAAAATGTATCAAATACCAGTGGTGTGCACAGTCGAATCTTGCACGAAATTCAGCCACCTCAGCATAGTGAATGGAAACAGCTTCCTGATGATCAGAAAGAATCATTTAGTCTAAGGTTTGTCTTTGGTGTTTGATGCTTTCAATAGCTTATGTCCTGCACTCTTCTGTGTAACTTGATGGAGATCGTTTTAATATCAGCGCAAGCTTTTCTGAGAGGCAAAGGAAGTGGAAAGAGGAGCTTGATCAAGAGCTGGAGAGGAAGCGAGGCAAGTTTTATTGTATAATTTTTCATTCTGGCAGGATTAAGATCTTGTCTTGGTAAACTTTGGTTTGAAAAGTACACGATTTTTAGTATATATGATCCTAATGGAACCTACATGATGCAGAGATGATGCGGCAGGCTGGTTTGGGAACGAATTCACCATCCCCAAACAATCGAATTCTAAGCCGACAAAGAGAGCGGCTACGGGCCGTTTTCCCTGGAAAATGAAGTTTTAGTATGTACCTCACTTGTATCTATTTTACCGTGGTATAGAAATAAATTATGTTCTTTCCGTTGGGAGCCTCCGGTATGCACTTGGTGAGGATGCGGTCCACTAATACATGTGCCGCCGTTGCCATAGCAGGCTGTGCAACCTGTTGCCTGCTGCATCATGTCTCGCAGCTCAGCCAGAAAATGTCACATTACCAGTGATGATATATGTATTATTTTAATATATTGTGGCCTATATGTATCTTATTGCGGGATATGAGACATGAAGTACTTGAGTTTGTGTGAATTGTATACTTTAAAATATATAGTAATGTGCTGCAGATAACGGTTCTAGCACACATTCTCTCTCTCTCTCTCTCTCTCTCTCTCTCTCTCTCTCTCCCCTTTATTTTGTTTGAAACAGAACCACCATTTTAGAGGAAATAGGTGTCTGTTTCTACTTTATAACTTCATATATATGCTTAAGAAAATAAAAATTAGCTTCTTGGATCAAATCGCGAAATGAGTGATGTATAGGAATTTAGTAGATGTTTAGTTACACCTTACAGTTTTAGCTCATGGCTGTTTACTGTGAAAGGGGAGAGGAAAGGGGAAAAATGAATTTCAGAGATATCGGGGCTGCAAGCGATCACCTTGTTTAGTAGACAAACTGAGCCCAATCCTCGGATTGGGTCGTGCTTGAGGCCTAACAGCAGAAGTTTGTATGGCTTTGGTTCATGAGCCTTGAGCTATAAAGTTGACTTTTCTATATTTTGATTATAAAAAATATAAAAATATAAAAACCATCCCAGCAGACCTCCATGTCCAGGCATTTGATATGGACCAATCAAATTCTTACGCTTATTCTTTGGTCCATGCACGTTATATGAAACGGAGATAACACTATTTTGCTATTCTCATTTCATACAAGTTTTTCTGCCATGCACGACCTTCTTTGGGTAATGAGAGAGTTTTGTCATCCACGCCTTCATTAGTTACAAGGCCTTAAAGATAAATCCGAGATGTTTGTAATCACTCGTAAATCATAGACCGAACCTTAAATACTTGCAATCACTTGTAAATCATAAGCGAGTGTTTATCCGCATGTAAAAACTATAAGCCTAAATAATCTGATTGCTGTTATGTGACTTAAATGTTTCATGTTTGTCATGCTTTTAGAAAGTGAAAAACATGTTACAATTGAAGTAGTACTCAAGAACGAGACTTATATTTCCAAAAATCTTCAACCTTCTACTAGGAAAACTTATTAGGTCGTTTAAAACCTGTGTTGAGATGAAAATCATTGTTGCTATCCTTTATTTACTGTTGATGTCAAAGAATCAAGGGTTGGTGAGGAATTATAAATGTGGGTAATGGAGAAACATAAACCCCGCTGCATTGTCCTAATTGCTTCCTAACTCATGTATGAAATAGACCATTGGACCCCTACCTCACCATGATTTTCCCTCAGAAAGATCATAAAAAATCTTTGAAAGTTCCTTTTGTTCCCCAGACAAATCATAGCAAATTGGTTGGTGAGTCAAAAGAAGGAAAAGCTTAAAGTCTCCATTTTTCCCAATCTTTTTGAATATTGCATGGGAGAAAGCTTTTTGGCTCACGGAAAAAGCTTGGTGGAAAAGCAAAGTTCTTGAATTAGGGGCTGAATTTTTTGAATGATTCTAAGGGTCTACAGACCATGAAAAGATGTTTGTGTCTGTCTCGGATGAGGTGGGCATTCTTTCTCTCTCTCTCTCTCTCTCTTTCTTGTAATTAAAAAAATTTGATAACTTCTTGACGTGAAAGACCATGATTGTGGAAGATCAACAAGATGATTACATAAATATCATGTGAAAATAACACAAAATAAAGATTTATTACTCGTTTTGCAGACACAAAAAAGGAAGAGAAAAAGGGTGTTACATTCAATCAACTTTCCTCTTAAAACAAAAGGGTGTCAATTTATTGCTTTTTTTGTTGTCGAAAATTGATTGGTAAATAAGTTTGTCATGTCCCCATGCAGCCCAAATGACAAAGAATAGAGTACAGTTTGGTGGGTTATCTGGTTCAAGGAGATTGGACCATTTTAAGCTGTGAATTTCGAATCGTCTTTAATTAGCAAAAACCAGCGGTAGGGGCCAACCCACATTTATAATTTTTCATAAGAATATAACAAGATTCTCATGAATATACTTCAAGTCCAAGATTATAGGTGAGGTAGGTATCTCTGTCTTTTTTCCTCTCCTCTCACCGTCCAAAGCAATAGCCCCCCTCACTTCTTTTTATTATTATTTTATTATTATTTTATTATGGGGGAGTTTAAGGACACAAAAGGAAAGAGACAATAAATACATGCACCAAAGGGTCCAAAGGGTATGAAGTGGTTCAAATTTTTACGTGTGGACTTTAGCACTCACACCCACATAGAGAATGTGTTTGCCAATATGTTTTTCGAACCACAAGAATTGTGAGGATTTGATGATCTTCAAGTTTGTACAACAATGAGGTTGAGAATTAATGAGTATGTTGTTTGTTGTGTGATGTACGTGCGTGGGAGGAAAATAGTATGTATATGCTTCTTTTTGGTGGCGACTGTTGTTGCTGCGAGTCCATGCCTTATCCATGTGCGTGGAAAGTAAGTGCATGAGAGGAAAAGAGGTCCTCAAACTTAAATTTCAAGTCAATTATTTGAAATCTTTAATGGGTTTATAAGATTCTTTCTTATCAAGATTTAGTTGTCAAACCGACTGTGAATCTAAACCATTCATTGTAACGATAAAAACTTACATATATCAAGTATGTCATTATAGCGGTATATCCCAAATCAATTGCGCATTGCATGCATTAAATACGAGTTCCTCTCGATCGTGACACTTTATTGTATTCCTTTTCGATTAAGGAAAATCAATTTGGATAGTTTAATAAGATACTTCCAGTTGTTTATAATGAGGGACATGCGGTTTTATCCATAACCAAATTAGCCTATATTGGTCAATTTTTCTGTGGTGTACCCTTTTGAGCTGCTA